TGCTCCTGCTGTGTCACAGATGTATTTCTAATATGTGCTGTTCTTACCCCTGGAGTGCAAAGATGCTGCTGCTCTCTGCAATGGCAGCTCCAGGTACCTGAAAGGATGGTGTGCTGCCATCTTTTATTCCACAGGAAAACACAGACCTATGTTTCGCATAGCAGTAAACTCACCCAATGCCACACCTAGAAGCTTCCTTTCACCTCCCCATTCTGCCTCAGAAAGGAAAAAAATTGACCCTGGTTTTATGTATAATCCATTTTTCAAATTCTTTTTTAACTAAAAATTGTCTTTCTGCTTTCTTGATTTTTTGATCAAGCTGCAAAGTGGAAAAGACACTGTATCTTTTTTTTTTTTTTTTTTTAATGGGTGATAAATGCACATTCATAGAAAAAGGGAAAATAGGGTGTACAAAATCTTTACATAGTAATATTATATATATAATGCAAATATTTCTGCTTATTACCTGCTCTGAATCTCCTTTAAAAACAAAATAATCAAGTAGAAATTATTTCAGGTGAGGCTGTTTTAAAGATTGTCAAGAAGCTGTATCATTTTCTCTTACCAGTTCTTGCTGATTTAATGAGCTGTGGATGTAAACCCTAAACTGAGCATCTGATATATAGCAAAAAACTTGCAATAATTTAATTTACCAAATATTTATCTTACCAACAGTATAGATCATTCTTATAATTGCGGTAAGCAATGTAGCTGTACTAGTAATTAAAAATTGTGCAGACACAGTCTAGCAAACTAAGGGTATTTCAGAACAGGGTTGTTAGTGTTGCTTGATTGGTATTTCCAGAGGAACACTCTGAAGTCAGATGCCACAACTGAGGAATTTTTAATGTTGAAGCAGAAGGTGACCCTCTGTGCTGCAAGTAAGAGACACCTGTGAGACAGAGAAAGAAGCACGTGCTTCCATCACCCTTTTTTTTTTTTTTTTTTTTTTAATCCACAAGAGTGGTTCTAGGAAAGTAGATTAGTCAGAATTGAGGCAGCCAGGGACAGCAGAAAAGCTACTTTTCAGGGGGCTTTGTGAGACACATCTAGCCACAGCGCTTACACTGGTTTAGCAACATGTCTTCTTTTCCTGGACTCAGTTCTTGATTTACCTCTCATGTACAATCTTCCTGTGGAAGACCCTATTGATTGTAGCAGGAATAATAATCATGCTTCAGCATTTATAAGGATTAAAATCTATAAATTCTGTTCTCTCATCATGTATTCAGTAGTCAGATGACATTAGAACCCAGTGACCTGGAACAGAAAAGCACAGAGGAAGACAAAAGTCTGTTCTCTGGGAAGGTCCATGCTCACTGTCATTTTTTTTTCCTTTTTCTTTTTGTGTTTCTGAGGCTGCCCAGCATTACATGCTCTGAATTATCCTCTGGAACCATCTTTTGCTCTACTCAAGATCCTAGAAAGACCAGCCTCCTAACTTAACTTTGTTGCCTACATTTAAATTACATGGTCATCACACCACATATATATATATTTTGATATTAACAATCTCTATTCACTTTCAGCAATTCCCTGAGTGAGTACTTCTGGTATCCATAAGAAATTCTATATGATCCACCTCAACGTAACCTTTCTCCTTTGAGAAGATAACAAGAGGATTTTATGGCAGCCAGGAAATAGGGTATATTATATAGATATGTAACAGCAGAGATGGTAATGTTGGTTAAGAAGAAAAAACCCTGTGAATGGTAGAGCTCACCTGAAGAGAGGGTGATGCTTCGTTCTTTAAACACTGGATCTGATCTTTCATATACTAAATATGTATTTTAATGCAGTCTGGGAAATAAAGACATGAAATATCAGACTGGGAAAGCAATGAAACCTTTACCTCTACCACTGGCACACATCTGATCTCACCCCTGTTTTTCCAGATTAGTCCTGCCTCACTTGATGATTGACCTTAGTAGGAATCAGGGCAATATTTCTGTGCCACTTCCCTGTTCTAAAGTTCCACCTCAACAATACTCTTTGAACTGAAGCTTTATGTGCACCACCACTGACATATCCTTTCCTCCTCCTGCTCACACAAGTATTTAATCAGGTGGCATATTGCTCACAGCCAAACAAATAGTTGGCACATTCAGTTCCTCTGTATAGACTTTGCTGTTCAAGCAGAGAACATCTGTCCTGCTGGCCGTGTTCATTGGAGGGTACTGAAAGACCAGAGAGACAGCATATGTTTTTTTTATTCCAGTATCTGGATCACATCTTATAATGGAAGCAAACAGTGTCCTGAGCAAACTCTGCTCACAGGCCAGTGACTCTGGTCTGTGACGTGTCCTGTGCTTGTGAGACACAACCTCTTCTATAATGCTCCGGACAGCTTTGGATGACCTTTTATTTTACTTTGAGGAACTGTTAACTCTTCACAAAAAAAAAAAACAAAAAACCAACACAAACAAACAAAACCACACACAAAACCCAAACAAACAAACAAAACACCAAATCAGTGAAATACAGATGAGCAAAATCTATTGGTAAAAATGCTTGATTAAATTTGGCTGAAACTTTTCGAAGTTTTTCAAAGTGTTTAATAGTTGAAAGGTGGTATTCTGCAGAAGTGAATGAATAAAACAGTAGCAGCTGTAAGGGATAATCCATTGATTTCCCTGAGAATGCTGATATGAGTCATTGTACTCTTCTACTGGTACCTCTGTACCTAAGGGTTTTGAAGACTCCATGTATCTACAAAGTATTATGGTCTACATCAGCTATTATTAAATTTATCTTAACTTTATTTGAGAAGCAGAGAAAGAACTGGATAGTGTGTAGCTGTTTCCAATTTAAAACTTTGCAATAAACAAGCATTTTCTCTAAGACTGTGCATTTGAAATGTCCACTACAAAGCGTAATATTCTTTAATATTTCATGTTAGTTACACATACTGTCAGATAGTTATAGTCTTCTTGTTTTGCCAGTTCACAAGTACACTGACAAAGATTACCCTTTTGATCACCTTACCCTAATTAGCTTTAATTGCAGCCTTCCTCATGAGGTTGCCTCCAGGTGTAGTAATATAGGACCAGCAGGGGAGGGAGGGGATTCTGCCCCTCTGCTCTGCTCTGGTGAGACCCCACCTGCAGTGCTGCCTCCAGCTCTGGGGTCCCAGCACAGGAAGGACATGGACCTGTTGGAGCGAGTGCAGAGGAGACCAGTAAGTTGATTAGAGGGAGAGAGCACCTCTGCTGGGAGGAAAGGCTGAGAGAATTGGGATTGTTTAGCCTAGGAAAGAGAAGGCTTTGCCCAGTAAATGTGGCCTTCTGGTACCTGAAGGGAGCCTACAAGAAAGATGGAGAGAGACTTTTGACAAGGGCTTGTAGTGACAGGACAAGGGGAATGGCTTTAACCTGAAAGAAAGTAGATTTAGATTAGATATTAGGAAAAAAATCTTTACTGTGAGAGCGGTAAGCCACTGGAACAGGTTGCTGAGGGAAGCTGTGGGTGCTCCATCCCTGGAATTGCTCAAGGCCAGGTTGGATGGAGCTCTGAGCAGTCTGGTCAGAGCACCTGGAAGGTATTCCTGCTTGTGGCAGGGGGTTGGAACTAGATGATCTTTAAGGTCCTTTCCAACCCAGGCCATTCTATTTTTCTATGGTATTTATCTTCAGGGCAGATTGTGAGTATAAGGGGACATCGTTCCCTGATTTGCATTAAGAGGCTTTGGAGTTTTCATCTTGCTTTGTATGGAATACCAATAACTCTTTAAAAAAATCCTAACAGTGTCACATTTGGAGACAGTAAAATAGTTGCCACTGATTGCACGCAAGAATCAAGGAAGAATTAACTTGCAGAGCGTTTTACGTGTGTGTGTGTGCACCATGTACCTTTAGCAGAAATACTGTTCGCATCCTTCGCGCGGAGAACTTATTAAAGAAAAAAAAAGATTTCTAATATATGCAAAATAAAGGGGGAAAGAAAGAAAGAAAGAAAGCAAGACGAGAGGAAAGCTCGGAGGTCTCCGAGCCGCCGCACAAAAGGCAGCGCCGACAGGAGGGGGCGCTCGGGCTTCACCGAGCGGCGCTGCGCGCGGCCCGGGCACGGCGGGGACACCGCGGGCTGGCTGTCCCCTCGCGGTGCCGATGTGTCCCCTCACAGGGGCTGTGTGTCCCCTAACGGGGCTGCGTGTCCCCTCAGGGGGTGTCTGTGCCCCGTCAGGGGGTGCCTCTGCCCCCTCCTCACCGGGTGTCTCAGTCCCCCTCTCGGGGGGCAGATGTCTCTGCCCTTCTCCGGCACCAGGCGCCGTTAAATCCCGCGTTGCTCCTTCCCCCGCGTCCCTCCCTCTTTCTGCTCTGGTGGTTCGGGGTTTGCTCCGAGCGTGTGGCGGAGAGGGGCTGTTCTCCCTGGTTACTGGGAGGTGAGGTGGCCCCTTCTCCCGTCTCCCTCACCGCCGCCTCCAGGGACCACGAAACTTTCCCTCTGGCGGGAGCTTCCCTGCATCCAAGGGACCCGGGAGGCAGGAGGCTCCTGGGTTTCGGCGGAGCCCGCCGGTTCCAAAGGCTCTGTGGGACACGTGCGATCTTTTGTGTTTTGTTTTATTTTATTTGCCACCTTTTCCACAGAGCGGGCCAGCAGAGAAATCCCTGGGGAATATGCTTTCGAGGGTCTCACTCCCTAGCGCCTGCGTTAGGCGTGCGAGAGGGGAAAATGAATAATTAGAGAACAGTTCCATGAAATCACTTACCGAAAAATTAGCTGCCCGTTAAAGGGGAAGCGGTGAGGAGCAATCATGTAAATCCTACCTACACCCAACTGTGGAGGGGAGGCAGCGAGCCTGGCTCCCAGCCCTACGGCTGCCTGCTGGCATCGCCGTCCCCATCTCCCTACCCCGGGAGGAGAGAGAGAGGGACGCGTGGGTGTGGAGCGCAGTGGTTTAGTCCACACCCCGCAGCCTCCCTTCCCCAGGCAGCCTCGGGAGCCGCGCTCATTCTCCTCCCTCTCGCTGCCAGCCGGTGTGTCCGCGGCGGCAGGAGGCGGAGGCGGCGGGAGAGGAGGGGAGAGAGGAGAGGGAGCGGAGAGAGGAGCGGCGGACGCGCCGGGGCCGCCCGGGAGAGGCGCGGCGGCGGGAGCGCCCCGCACTGCCCGCATCCCCAGCACGCCCCGCATCCCCCGCCGCCACCGCTCGGCAGCAGCAGCGGCACCGCGCCGGGGTCCTGCCCTCCAACAGTTCCCGCTCCGCTTTCAGGGAGGAGGGAGGTGTAGGGGACAAGGCTTTTTTTTTTTTTTTCTTTTTTTTTTTTTTTTCTTTGAGGGGATGCTGAGAAAGCAAGCCGTTCCCCTCCCGTGTAGCACATTGCCTGGGCGTTCCTATTATGGAAGTTAAGTGAGAAACTCTGCAGCTTGAACTGATTTGGGGAGAGAAAGGGGTAGGGGGAGGGCGAGAGGAAAGCAAGATAGCTGAACCAAGCCAATGGTTTTCCTGCAAAGTGCCGGGAAGTTTGTGGAGCACTTTCTAGGAATCAGGTCCTTTCTCAGAGTCTCTCCTTGTCTTCCGAAGAAAGAGCTGGCTTTTGGATTGCCATGGATCCTAAAGAGAGTCTTAGACACACTTGAATAATTCCTCTGCTCAGGCTGGATTGGTGGGAATTTAGGAAGGAGCGTGTGTGCAAAGCAGAAGCCGCCGGAGCTCGCTCGCTGCTCTAATCTGTATGGATCTAAAAGTGTCACATTCAAGACCTTTGCATCTGCAGCTTTTGATTTCAAGATTTCCCTTTCCACTTTAAGTAGCTGCTAGGAAACTGAAAACTTTTGGACCTACCTCTTACTGGCTTTGGATACTTCTTTTTTTTTTTTTTTTTTTTTTTTTTTTAATCTCTGTGGAATTAGTCTCGCAAGCGATCGGGATTGCTTTTACTATGTCAAAATGGGTCTGCTGACGCCACTCCTGCTCTTCGGATTTGCATTTTTTCAAGTCTATGGTAAGTTCTCTTATTTTAGACATGTCATTTCTGTGCAGAAATCCCCTTCATCTGAATCTGATTTGGGACAGCACATGGACGGCATTATAAGCTTTAACGTTACAGAGCCTTAAGCTTGTTCCTGGTATAAAAATGGTATTTGGGGAGGGAGGGGTCGGAAGAGGGAGAATATATGTTTTCAATAAGCACTGCTTCCCGTCTCCTAACTTAATGGGAAAGCAGCTTATGAATGGAAGAATGTCAGCTTGAGGTGGCGAGAAGAGAGGAAAAACTACCGTGTTGAATCTTTTATTGGGGGGTGGGAAGCGGGAAGGAGAAAGGAAAGGCAGGGAGCTGTTGTAGCCGGTGTTACTTTGCCGCCTTCTATTGTTAAACTTTTCCACCGGGAGAGCCAGCTGATGAAATAAATAGGTTAGCCCTGCCTCGGCTCCAGGTGAGGCGAACTGGCGGATTTCCAGAGTCCCTCAGCGCCTGTTTCGGCGCTGGCGAGCGGCAGGGAGGGAATGAAGGAGGGAGGGAGGCGGGCTGGGAGCGCGGGGCGGCGGCAGAGCGGCACCGACCACCCCGCTCCACCTCCGCCCACCGCCGCCGTGCCGGCCAGGTGGGGCGGGAGGCTCTTCCCACCGTCTTCCCTATCATTCCGGGCTTTCCAGAGGGAGCGTTTTCATCAAGCTCAACAGCGTCTGGGGAAAGAGTGGGTTTTCTTACCACCCCCCCGGTCCCCCTTGGGTGTGCTCTGCAACGTTTCTTGCGGTTTTCGAGTTTAAGTAACGGCTGGGGAGCTGTAAATTGTCATCTTGGGGAAGTACGGTTTAGCAGGGCGAGAACTTCAGCGCAAGGGTAAATTGCCTTTCAGAGTAGGGGTGGGCGCTGTGCCGCCGCGCAGACCGTGGATGCGCTGCAGCGGTTCAGGCACAAGGCTAGGAGCGAGCATCCGATTCTCCGGGAGCCTGTGCTGGCACCAGATGCTCGGCACTCCTCCTAGGATCGAGTATTTGCAACTCATAAACAGTCCTTTAGACTTGAGGTGAATTTAATGTCCGGGACCCCCGCTCGTTTTGCATGTCTGTCAGAGCAAACTTTGTCTCAGGAAAGCTGCTCTCAGCACTTACTGTATCAGTCCCCAGGCGAGGGCTCTGGGTTTATTGTTTGCAGTCACAGGCTGCTTTGGGTGTTCCTCCACCACCCTCTAGCAAGAAAGGAGGCAAAATAGGTGAGAAGAAGGAGACATTCAAGTACAGTTTTACACTGGTTGCGTAATATGCTCTGCATATTTAATGTTCAGCAAGAAAATTTCTGTGTTATGTGTGTACACGCTAAACAGTAGGAAGTTTTAACTGTGAAAGGATTTAATAAAACATTCGTGGCAATCAGTGTGGTCATAGTTTTATGTTTGCTCTATTTTTCTTGCTGTAACAGAAGATCCTTAACTCTAAGACCACCAGTATCGGAGACAGCTTTGTATACAAACTGCAAACATCAGGCTGTAGAAGTGTAATTATTAGTAAGTGTTTAAAATTGTATGTAGCTAGAAGGAATACAATTAAAGTGCTCAGTGGAAGTGACAGAGTGAATCAGAGGAGCTTGGTGTTACAGAATGTAATTAATGTACCAGGCTGTTCGGAGATATATGAAACAAATGCAATTAACCAGCTTGCTGGAACAACGGGAGCAAGACATAATTTATTCGAGTTTTGTCACGGGGAACACAAGTAGAACCTTTGTTCTGGTTTAGCCTTATAGGATGGGGGGTAGGGAGGCACAGGTGAAGCACGTAGGTAATTTAGACCTGGACCATTAGAAAAAGATTACCAAGAAGCTGCCTGGAAGAGATGGGATCCTCCCCTTTTGTGGGAAGATATTGCAGAGACTGTCGAGTTTGCCTACATTAACAACTCTCCGAAATAAATAAATAAAGAGCCTTGTGGATAGCACATCATGACCAAGTAGAGATAAGCTGTTATTGTCGAAGTGACTAACAAGTAGCTTTGAAGAAATACTGGCAGGCAAGCTTGGCAAGCAGTGCTTTTGTCTCTTTAGAAGCATGATAATTACGATCACATCTTAGGGTGACATATACCACTAGTTGCTTTGAAAAGATCTATATCAACATTAGCACGATTTGTAATGCTATAGTTAAAGAAAAAAAAAAGTCAAAACTTTATAGACCACTTGTTTAAGAACTCCTTGGTTTGTTTTCTATGTTTGAAAGTTACCTCTTAGTGCCTTTTTGGTTTTTACTGATTTTTGTTGTTGGGTTTGGTTGGGTTTTTTTGTTTGATCTCTTGGCATGAGGTCCAGACGCAGACACTGTTGCATTGGAGGCATGTTGGCCATCCTTTTCCTTGGGAGGTTAGTTTTGCTTACTGATTCACAAGAGATATAGGTCAAAATGATAATATTTGTCTTCTGAAGTTATTTTCGCTGCCACTCCTTTTATGACACCTCAAAATTGCAAAGCTCGACAGAAAATATGTGATACTTACACACATGGAGGTTTTATTTTGTTTATTACTGTGCTTTTGATTTTCCTGCAATCCTTCCCATGTTCCTGCCATCTGTTCGGGGAATAATTTTAATTTTCTTTTATTTGAGATATCAATCTTGGTTGCAGTTCTTGGGAGAAAAAACCCAAACAAAAAATCAAACACATCAAAAAAGCCCAAAAAACAAAACACCCTAAAAAAGCCCAAACAACAAAACACCCCACTGACAGATTCTCTACTGTAAGATGGAATGGAGTTAAAAGACTCCATGGGTTTTGTTTTTTTTTTTTTTTTTTTTTTTTTTACCAGCGTTCAATTGATTTTTATTTCACTGTTATGTGTTTTGGTTATTCTTCTTCCAATTGCTAATAACACTTAAAAGAAAAAAATATTAACAGAAAAGTTCACAACTTCTGTGAACACGTGTTTTAGTGGGCCAAACTCTGCCCTGGTAGGACTCATAAGCAGTTTCAATGAAAATAATAACCTTTTATGTCAGAGCTGGCTTTTAGCCATTGTCCCTTGAAAACTGCAGGTGTGATATCTTGGATGGGTGATGGTGCTAAAGTTACACGAGAATAATTCTATAACACCAACATTTTAACTCCATATTAATATATATCAAAAGCACTCATTTTCTTAATGAAAAGTGTGCATTTGAAATGGTAGGGTGGCTGAAGCATTCTGTATTTATTTTTCTTTTTAAAATTTATTTCTTCATGCCAGTGAACTGCACATCTGTGGCCTTGTGCTGGTCCCTGTTGCCTGTTGGAGAACATGGCTTACATATAAAGCTGGAGTATATTCTTCCACTGGGTATTTGAGCTGACAGGGTCTTGATCTCTCATGTGAGTTTTGCTGTTGATGGATAACCTTTGCTTCTGTGGAATGTGTGCATTTTAATGCATTGAGAGTGGAATTCTGAAGAGGAGAGTTTGCAGTTTTATTTCCTTGAGCTTGTTCTTCCATAAGATCCAATTCTGCAGAGTATTTAAGTTCTTCCACCTCTCATCCAGAATCTCACTGAAATTATTAAGAATTGAAACATGTGTTCTAAGCTAATCATATGCTTTAAAACTTCACTGAGTATGAATGACTTTATGACCATAATGAGTAACTTTGCTGAATTAGTCTTAAGATTTTGCTTTCTTTACTTCCTTTCTGGTAAGTTGTTATTGCGACAACATATATTTATGTGCTGAAGATAGGCAATGAGGAAACCCTGTCCTTGTACTTCCAGAGATGGGTATGTTTGAAAACTAACGTGAAAATCCAAATTATTTGGTTTGTGTCTTTGCTAATTTGGAACTCTGCAAGAGGTCTGATACCCCCAAATCTTTCAGAAAAGTTGGACATAGGGGATTTAAACCTTTTATGTGAGTTGTACTTAGTATAGTAGTCCTTCCATTAGGAACTTTCTGCAGTGATGAGATTGATGGAAACTAAATTTTAGCAACACAGGCTAAAGATGTGTAACCTTTGAAGCAGACAAAAGGATTTAAGTACATTTTTAAGGAGGCATAAAAAGCATCAAGGAGACGTGCCAGAAAATGTGATGAGAGGAAATAGAGGCTTTGGCTAGTCTGTCCAGTCAACTCTATTTCCAGGAGTTGCTTTTCCATAGCAATGTGGGCTCGTAGCCCTAAACTCAAGACGTGCTCTGTTCGCTCCTGAACCATTTAGTGGAAATTACTAAAGAGTATGCAATGGCTTTTTAGCCATTTGCTACCCTTGAATTGCTATTCAAATATTGATCTGGGCTAAATAGATTGCTAACAGGTTCTGTACATTCTGTTTCAGCCACCTAAGAGGAGCACTGCTGTCAGCTTTTATCTGTTATCTCAGCTGGCATGGCAGAGGTTGCTCTTCCTGTGGCTGCCATCTGGCTCACCACCTCTCACATCAACCTTGTGGAGGATACTTAGTAATCATACTGATGCTGTTTCTTGCCAAGAGGCTCGGTTACTGGTGTGCTTTTTCTACATCTCTGTAAAGGTCTCTTTATTTTGCAAGAAGGCACAAGAAAACAAGTATTTGCTCCTGTCAAATAAAGAAACGTGTTGGCTTTTTGGCTCTGACTGAGCAGAAATTTCTTGCGTGTGACTGCTGAGTTTTTACACAATGCTTATTGTTACCTGAGGTTAACCTGTTACCTGAGGTTTCCTGCACTTTACAGCACACATGCCTTGTATGTTCAAAACAATTCCTTTGCATTTTGCTGCATAGAAGGGTATGGAATCTGATCTTAGGTCACCGCTTGTCTGAGAATGTTTAGGATAGCTTTTATGCAGGGTAGTCATGTGGACTGTTAGTCATGAAATCTTTGCAAAATAATTGTGTAGAAATCAGGATTTGTAGATGTATATTTTAGTCTCACCATCTTTACTCTCACACCTGACTTCTACTACATAATGCAAATTGTGGACTCTCTGCCCTTGAAGTCACATGTTCAGAAATAAGATTGAGTAGTTAGTGTTGTCCTCCCCTCAAACCTTTTTCCTTAACAAAATAATT